CCTCAAAAATTTAAAGATGTATTTTATGTATGTGTGGGAGCCTGGGGCCTCACATATCATTAAACACGTGCTCTACCACTGAGGTGCATCTCTGCCCCAAGATGCCAGTTCTGACCACACTTATTATTATTTCATTACAATCCAGTTAAAACACTAGAAAGTGTATGTGTATGTACAACAGTCCTATTCTAACATACTACTATAATGTAAAAGATATAAAACAGTAGATAAAACTGAAGAAGAAAATAAACTATGCTAGTAGTTTTCCATTGCTGTACAAATACCTGAAATAATTCAACTTATCAGAAAAAAAAAAAAAGCTTTGGTATTGCTTAGGGTTAGAGGTTTTAGTTCTCATTCATTTAGCTCACTGCTGTTAGCCCTGTGGTTGGCTAGGCAGCACATCATGGTAGGAACTTGTAGTAAAGGAGGCCGCTCTCCTCATGGCAGCTAGGAAGCAAAGAGGAAGAGGAGGGTCTGGACCCTCTATCTCCTTAGCAGGCATGCCCCCCAGTTAACTAGCTTCATTTTACCAGGATAACCCACTATCTCCCAATAGTGTCAAGGTTGGGAACCAAGTCTCCCATACACTGGCCTTTGGGAACACTTATCCAAACCATACACTAACTGCACTAACAGATACCAAATCCTATTATAGTGAAATAAATTAAGTGTCATTTTGATGAAAGGCCATACATGAGCAGAACAGTATCTTTATGGTCATTTTGTTTAACAAAGATGATATTGTTTCACCCACATATATCTATTAAAAACAAAAAGAACCTTGGCTGCTGTAATTCCCACTATGCATAAAAATCACCTCCAGATTGGTGAAACATTAATATTTTAGAAGATAATGAAGGGGGGTAGGCTCATGATTTGGCGTATATGGAGATTTTTTTTCTTTCTTTTGGTAGTACTGAGGATAGAACTCAGGGCCTCATACACACACAGCAAATTATGTACTACTAAGCTCTACCCTGAGACCCAGAGATTTCTTAAATAGGGTTTAGCTGTTAAAAAATATTGATGAATGGAATTTCCACAAATATATAATTTCCTATTATCAAAAAAACCATTAATGAGCAAAAAGGCACTCTATGTACCTAAAGAACTTGTGTCCAGAGCATATACCTTGCCCAAAGGAGAATGTCTAAATAGCCAGTAAGCATAGGTAAAGATCTTTAGTATTGGGGCTGGGGATTTAGCTCAGTGGCACAAGCGCCTGCCTGGCAAATGCAAGGTCATGTGTTTGATTCCCGGTACTGGAAAAAAAAACAGAAAAAAAAAAAGATCTTTAATATGATTAGTTATCAGGGAAATTAAAATTCAAGCTATGACAATAAACCTTTCCACACAAAATACTGTGTGAAAATGCACAAAATTAGTGTGTAACAACAATAAAAATACAATACTGGGGGCTGGGTATTTAGCTCAGCGGTAAAGTGCCTGCCTGGCAAGTGCAAGGTCGTGAGTTTGGTTCCCGGTACTGGAGAAAAAAACCAAAAACCAAAAAAATAAAATAAAATAAAAAATAAAAGTACAATACTAGTTATAGGCAGTCATAGGGAATCAGAAATTCTTACAAAATACTGGTGGTGGTGTAAAGTTGGTACACATCCTGTGGGAAGCTTCTTAGCACAATCTGTTACACTGACTATACACATGCTATGAACCAGTGGCTTTCACATTGAAGCACATGAAATGAAAAGGTAAGTAAGAGTACACCAAAAGACACGAGTAAGAATATCTAGGGTATCATTGCCAGGAATTGTTTAAAGCAGTGCACCAAAACTCTGTGCATCAAAATCAAATTTATACATTATATTTATTAGAAAAATACGATGGGAAGTATAAAAGGTCAGACAGTAGATAATTTTGATTGAAAGACGCTAGGGATGCAGGTATATCTAGTATATAATTCCACTCATAGAGAAAGGGGAGCACCATATGGTGATTTTATTCAGAATAATATTTGATGGCAATGAGGTGGGACTGAGGTTCTGGGATACAGTTTATGTTGTGGTTGCTGATTTCTCCAGTACTGGAGCCTGAGGCCTTCATACTCAGCTACATCTCCAGCCCTTAGTTTATTTTTTATTTTAAAACAGGGACTCTCTAAGTTGCTAAGTACCCCAGGCTGGGCTCAAACTTGTGATCCTCCTACCTCAACCTGCTAGAGTATTGGGATTTCATGAAAGCACCACTACACCTGGACTGTAATATATATATATATACACATATATATGTGTATATATATATATACATATATATATGTATATATATATATATTTGTTGTTGTTGCTGTTGTTGTTGTTTGTTTGTTTGTTTTTGGTACCAGGAATCAAACTCAGGACGTCACACTTGCCAGGCAGGTGGTTGTGCTGCTGAGCTATATCTCCAGCCCCTGGACTGTTCTATATCTTGATGCATGTGGTCATCAGATAGTTATATTTGCTTTATAAACATACATATTGACCTTTATAGCTATTCCTGCTCTTTCCTTTATTTTATATCACAATAAAATAGTTCATTTAAAAGATTAAAAGCTGATACCAGAGTCCTGAAATGCCCGCTAGGTTACATAGACTTATACACGTGGCAGGACAGTGAGATTGTAAGAACAAGATCAGTGATAAAAACATTTGTAATTTCCATGAAAGATGAGAGAATGGGAAGGAAAAAATAAAGCCACTGTTCAATTTCTTCTTTTGTTCATGGGTCCAGTAAGCCATTCTAAGCTCCTAGAAAGAGCTCAAAAGGTCTAAGTTAGTTTTGTAAAATTAAATATATGTCTATATAATAAGACTAGTATGGGAATCCCCATCAGATTTTTAACCTCATTTTTTCATTGTAAGCATGTATATTTTTAAAATCTTATATTGATTGAAAGATCATCTTAAAGAACTGGTTTTCAAAGTTCTGTATTTTATTAAATTTGTTTTACTCAAATAATAAAGGGAAAGCATTTAGATATCAAACTATTAATAAGGCCAGATGTTCATGATGATATCAACCATTTGAAACTGATAGCTCATTACTATTTTATGGTCAAGTTATAGGTCAGTTTTCTTCAGTGCTGATGGGGTTTTTGCAGAGGCAAAGATTGTAAACAATGTGCAAAAATGTAATGAGTTATACCTACTAAAGTAATAATATATGAAGACTACCTGCTGTGTGTCTCCAAATTTCCCTAATCTGCCCTGCACATTCTTTGCAAATCATTTCACTTTAATTCTTTAAGGAGTTCGGAACTGACAGAGCCAACAATCCTCTTTATTACAGTGTTTCAAAAGTATGCTTGCTGGGGCTGGGGATTTAGCTCAGCGGCAAAGCGCCTGCCTGGCAAGTGCAAGGTCGTGAGTTCGGTTCCCGGTACCGGAGAAAAACAAAAAAACAAAAATATGCTTGGTGATTATTAGACTATTAGTTTATTATGTAGATTAAATGATTTCTTATGCTCATTTTGGCACGTCAGGATTAGCATTCTTTTTATATTTTAAAAGAATGGGACTGAAAGGATTTACTTTTCCTAGCAGGGACACAATACCTGACACCACCCTTTAAAGGAGGAATTGTTTAATTGTGCTCGGTTTCAAAGGAGTCAGTCCATGGCTGGCTGGCTCAAAGGTAGAAACACCATTGCAGAGGTTTACCAGGGGAAAGCTGCTCCCCTTACCGCAGTGGAGAAACAGAACAAAGGAAACTTGGCAGAGAAAAATGAGCCAGGGACCACAGGGAGTTACCAAGGCTGCATCTCTGCAGCTCACACAGACACACCCAGAAAAGTGCTTCCCTAAACCCGTGGGCCTTTCTTAATCCAGTGAAATGGGCATTTCAGGATTAAGAGTCACAGATGGACTTCTTGATTCCTGAGTCAGTACAAATTCTGCATATCTAATTAATCTAAGGCACTAAAACTTGTCACATTCCTTTTGAGAACTCTGTATGATTCTGGGATATGTTCCACTTTATTTGGGAACTTTTCTACTGTTTAGCAGAATTTGTTCCTTCCCCAATTTGAAACAAGAAGAACTTTTAAGTGAATTCTGTAAGTATAAAATGTACAAAGATTTTATGTGTGTGAGAGATAGGAAAAAAAATACTTGAAAACACCATAGTCACAAAGCTCCTACTTATGTAACACACACACACACGCACACACACACACTTATTTAATCACTCTTAGGGTGCACAGTGGCATTGTATTTTACTCCAACTGAGACTTTTTAAAAATTCTTTTTCAATTCTAGGCTCTGACATACAGGTTCAATAAAACACCCCATCCCCTCTGTCTTTTTGAGACAGGGTTCCACTGTGTAGTTCAGGCTGGCCTTCAATTCACTTTGTAGCCCAGGATGGACTCGAACTTGCAGCGATTCTCCTGCCTCAGCCTCCCAAGTGCTGGGCATACAGGCGTGCACCACGACACACAGCTAATCCCTTCCCCCCTGTACCCGGTGTGACTGGATCTTAGAAGCCATTTGTGTCTACACAAAAAATGCAAAAAAAAAAAAAAAAAAAAAAAAAAGATTTGTGGGTGGGTTTCATGCAATTTACTCCACTGAGTATTCCCTTGGTGTGTTTCTCCTCTGGTCTCTTTAATTCACAGCATTTTGCTTTCTAGCTGCAAAGGAAGGGTATCTGATTTTATCACAGCTAGTTTCTTTGGCGGCAGGGCTTCCCAACCTTGGTACTACTGATATTTTCACCCAGACACATACACAGATATTCAATGAGGAAGGCTGTTTTGATAGAGGATGTTTAGCAGCCTCGGTGGTTCTCAAACCACTCTGTACCTACATTCCCACCCTCTAGGAATCATAGTCAAAATGCTTCCAGAGATCAGCAATTGTTCAGTGTATGTGTGTGTGTGTGTGTGTATGTGTAGGTTTGTGTAAATGGGAGTTGGGTATGGTGGCATTTTTCCCAATTGAGAACCAGCACTCTACAGAAAAATACAAGCTACAGAAATACAGAAGGAAGAAGAAAGACCATAATTCTAGGCAGCATATTTTAAGATGCTGTAAGCTCTCCAGGAGGATCTTTATGATTAGACAATTTGGGCAAAGTTTCTTACATAAGAGAGGTAGAACCTTCAGTGCTATGCATAGTTCCGGTCCCAATCTCTTGCTGTTGGTTTCACTCTGCCTTGTTCTTCTGGAGATCAGCTCGTAATGTTTTCAGTTTCTTTTGGATCTCACTCAGAACATCAATTTTCTGCTCCAAAATAGACAATGAGTGGGCAATGCAATGTTCTACATCGTAGTTTACCCCTTCGGCCGTCTCCTGGACGTTCTCCCACCACTCGCTAGAGCCCTTCCAGGTGGTCCATTCCTTCACTAGTGGGGAGGATGATATTTCAGTTTCTTCACCGGGTTTCTCCTCATCTCTCTGTGTATAAGGTATTTTCATAAGTTCATCCCCCTGAAGAGACAGTTGTGAATTCTTAATGTTCTTTTCTAGATGGTAGTGCCTTACATCTGGAGCTAATTCTTTTACTCTGTTTGCATATCTTAAAGTGTTGAGGGTGTTTTCACAAGAGGTCATCCCTGGTGAGATAGTAGCAATCATGCAAGTGGAGGAGTTCTGACCTATGAAGGAATCCCGGAGCACTTGTGTGAGTTTGCTGGCTCTGAACGGGGTGTGAGATTTATTCTGACCCAATGCTCTGATACATTCTTTGAGGGCAAGGAGACTCTTGTTAATCTCGGCCCCTTCTAGCTGCCTCTTCCGGTTGGCCTTGGCCGTATCCGCTCCCCTTTCATTCCCAGCTAAGTCTATGAGGGAAAACTTGCCGTGCAGTTTCCCTCTGGACTTCAAGATGATCTGGAACACCGCGTGGCTCCGCGATGAGTGAACATTAACAGATGTCTGTCCGGAAGTCCGGCAGCTGTTGCCCAGTTCCACCAGGTTCATCACTTCTTCGGTACAACACACTTCTTGTTCCCGCAGCCCTACCACTTGGACTTGCTGATGGCCATCCTCAAGAATTTGCAGCTTCTTCTTCCAGTTCAGCAAGTCATACACTTTGCCGCCGTAAATCTCAAAAAAGGTCCCATAGACTTTGAGGTCTAGGGTCTCATAAGTGGAGTTTTTGAGCAAGAGAAAGACGTCCTGAGCCACCAGGGCATAGATGCCTTTAGAACAATCTTGGACCCTTCCTGAAAAGGCTCCGCCCATGGTGTGTGTCTTCCCACTGCCGGTCTGTCCGTAGGCAAAGCAGGTGGCCATGCCCTTGTGGAAGATGGACTCCACCAGCGGCTGGGCGGTGAACTGGTACACTAACTCGTTGGAGGCGGTGTCGTCAAAAGCACGGTCGAAACAGAAGGTCTGGTTCTCCAGGTAGCGAGTAAGGTCCAACTTTTGCTTGGACTCGTGCACCATGACCATGTTTTCCGAGAGGATAGTGATGATGTCCAGGTCCTTCATGACGATCTCCCGCTCGTTGAGCGGCCTCTTCCTCACGCAGACGCAGATCCGGTGGTGTTCAGGGGGCTCCAGGCCAGGCATGGGAATCTTGCTGCTGTCCAGACCCTTGCGACACTCTTCGATCATGCGCATGACCTCGAGGTTGGGGTGTCCCGCACTCACGTCGAGGGCACGTCTCGCTCGAATCTGCAGCTGCAGCTGCCTGCGCCTCTCTCGCTGCTTCTGCAGTCTCTCGATTTCGCGCAGGCAAGAAGATTTTCTCTGCCTCATGAGGCAAGGATGGCTGGGGACTCCCACAGCCGGGCTGTCCCCTGAGGGTGTTTCACTTTTCTGGGGGGCCATAGCAGTCCTCTGTGGGGTTGCCCACTGGTCCCCGATGGCTGGAGAGGGTGCCAGACACAAAGGGGGCAGTGGTTTTAGCGGCTTGGGATGTTCAGCAGAGGCCAGAGCTGGGTTCAGCAGCAAGATGTTCTCCAGATTAATCTTCTTACCTTTTTTCACTCCTTTCTCCACCCATTCTACTGTGACCCACGAATTTTCTCTGTTGATTTCGGTGACCACAGCCAGATGGATCCTCTTGTCGCTGCGCTCGATCACCACACAGATTCCCACCTGGATGTCTCCACAATGTGAATTCAAAGGTTTCAGCTGGGAGAATAGTGGTGCGAGAGAGGGGCACGACTGGCTGGCCATGGTCAGTGATGGAGGTATCGGGGCTGGCTTCCAGGGTCCTTGGGAACCCAAGCCAGGCTGAAGCGCTCAGAGCCCTGAGCGCAGGCGCGGTGTGCCTCTGCCTGTGTAAACCCTGAAAGCCAAAGCTGGGGGCGGGGCCACTCGCGTCACAAAGGGTTGGGCTAAGAGACAGAGCAGGGGTCCCAGGCCTCCCACGTCTTTTAAGGTAGGCAGAAAAAATCACCTCCAGGATGTCAGCAGAGTGCAAAGGGAAGCAACAATAGCTTGTTCTCTGATTGGAGGAGGATGCGGAGTGTTTTGTAGATTCTAGTCAAAGAGTGAGGGTAGAGAACAGAGAAGCCTTGGGAAAAGAGACAGATCTTTTACAAAAGGCGGCAACAGAGGGAGGGGAGAAGAGGAAGAGGGAGAGAGGAGGGAAGGTGGGTGAAAAAGAATTGGGATGCGTTGTTCGTGTACCAAGTCCTCACGCTGAATGTAATCATTATGTACTGCAAACATGTACTAGTAAAAATAAAAGTTAAAAAAAAAAATGTATGTTCCAGGGACATTTGTGTCTTAGCTTTGGAAATATCCCTTCTCCCGGGCAGTCTTGATCTGTGATCTCAGAGCTCTGTGCTTTAAGGAGCCCTGGGAAGTCCCGTCAGACTTCAGCTCTCTAGTGCGGAATGGGAACAGATGACTGTAGAGCTGTTCGCATGGTGTTCTGTATGCCTCTAAACTCCAAATTCCGCGGGATCCCGCCGAGGCCTCCTCAAATTTGCCATCTCCTTATTAATTCTTCCGCCCCCTTCTACATTTGCTTAACGTCACACTCGTAATTTAAAGTTATTCTACTTTAATGGGCTTTCTCATTACAAAATCGGAATGAGCTGAGCTTAGCAGGTTGTTGTGGGAATTTTGCTAATATGGAGCTTCCTTTGCTCTAGCGTCTGTGTTTGTAAACACAAGATGCTTATCACATTCCAAGTGGCTGTGACAGCTATAAAGTTAGTTTTGTTGTGCTGCAGTCACTTCCATGTTTGAGATTAGCACCATAATTACGGTTCCAAATTTCTTTAGTAATTACACTTCTGGCCTCCTTATCTATAATTTAGAGACCATGGAGAGACATTGGTGGAAAGAGACAATTCATCACATATCTCCTCCTCCACCCTAAGATGTGGTAAGCATGCAGGTGTGTTCCAAATTCTTACAGGTCCGGTGGAGAAGTTTGGGAAGGCAGCTAAGATGATCAGAGATATCGTTTGGACTGTGAGTTTGGTTATAACTGACTTATAGCTCTAAAGTAAAACACAGGACAGTAAGCATGGCGACCTCACAACTTTCAGACTGGGGTCACTGTAGAAATACATTCTATTACAAGTTTTCTTAATGCCAAGTTTTTCCTCCAGTAAGTTTAGTAAAGCTCAGAATTTCCTAAAAATTTGACAACTCTGCAGTCCTCTGTTCTGGGAATGTCTGAAGGAGGGTAAATTCAAATACCAATAGAAAGAGAGGACAAAGGAGTTCAGGGAATTGTCTTTGTATGATTATTAATTTTTCATTTGCTCAAATTATCAATATTTAAAGTTGTGCCTTAAATAAGATGTTTGCTGTTGACATTTCAAGGGAATTATGTAAATGTTCTTACTCTCTATATTTATCATTAGGTTAAATTATCCTTTTTAAAGCATTGCTGCTTTAAAGTTTTCAATATGCTTCTTTTAAACGTTTATCTTTTAAAAAATCAGATCTCTCAAAATTATGCAAACCATATCTTTTCCATGTTAGCTGTGTTTTTTACACCTAACCAGATGATTTTTGCAGCTAGACAATAGATGACTAGGGTCAGGATGGTTGTGCAAAAAAACAGAGTCTAAAGTATCCTTGATTCATTTTTTTTTGTCTAGCATGCTCATGGGAAAGGACATTTTTAAAAATAAATTCCAGGGCTATTCTGTTTTATTTTCTTACATAGTTCCTCAAGATATCTCATTTGTTCCTACAGTTTAATTTTAGGTACAGCCAGCTATCTAGCTAGTTGACAACCAGAATTCCCCTAACTGCAGAAAGCCATAGGAATTTAAATTCAATAAAACCCAAATTTTATTTTCTTTCTGAATGTGACACTTGGAAGATATTTTTAATCACTTTTAGTAGCCTCAGCATGGACTCATTTTCAAAAACTTAAAGCTTGTTTCTGTCTTCTCACTTAGTCCATTATAACTTAGTCTTACTCCAGCTTGTAGAAGCGTTCTGTAACTATGACATCACTTAATCTCTCAACCAATCAGGCTGTGTCTCCCACTGATTGTTTCACTCACTGTCCTGAGAGCCATTTTAGCAGGTACTTCCTTATAGATTCCCTGCCTACAAATGCTTTAGCAGCTTTCTATCATCCTGGTACAGTACAAATTCCGTAAGAAGGCACAAGAACATCTTTCTTTTTGCTTCACCCTTGACCTTTGTGACACTTCGTCTAAAGTTGAACTGGGTAAAGGAAATTAAAGTCCTCCAAATGCACTACTGTCTTTCAAATTTCTAATATGGGAGTTCTCAATTTTTTTGTTGTTGTTGTTTGGTACCAGGAATCTAACTCATGACCTCAGACTTGCTAGGTAGGTGCTTATACCACTGAGCTATATTCCCAGGCCCTGGGAGTTCTCAGTATTATGATACATTACAAGGGCTTCCTAATACACAGATTATTGGGTCTCCTAACCTAGGGATTCTGACAGTAATTCCACACTGGGGCTAGGAATGTTCCTATCTAACATGTACTCATATAATGCTGATGTTACTGGGCCTACAGTGCTGAGAACTTCTGCTTGAGCCATCTAAACAGAATAGTCTGGTTCTACCCTCTCATCTTACCCGAACTCCTCAACACCTTGTCTTGAATATCATTATCTTTAAACAGAAATAGTATCTCTTACGGGTTGGCCTTGGTTGATCAAGACAAAACAAATGCCTACATTTTCAGTTGTGAATATAAATAAATTAGTAGAGTTCATAAGTGACTTCAACTGTAATCTGTTTCTGGAGACTTGTTTGGATAGTTTTATAATTTTGATAATCTGGAGCTTCATTGGCTGCAATTTTGTATATCTTTATGATATAAAATTCACAATCAGCAACCAACTGTGTATGCTTTTATTTAATAGTGGTTATTCTGAGGGGCCAGTTTATTTTTAAAAAAATTATGAATTTTGCATGTGGGATAAATACAGAATTAGTAAGAATGTGAAGGCCTGTATGCAGTTAAAGTTATTATTATCCCTGAGCAGTGACCTGGATAGCCATTTGGTAAAATGAACTGTTTCTCCAAATTAAAGGTAGATGTCCCTGCTATATTTAATTGATTGAATTTAACCAAGTAGCAAGTATATATGCAATTTTTACCGTGTGTTATTTCCTATGTCAAAGAAATCCTACCCTCAAGGAGCTTATCATTTGCACATTTTGCACCTACTAAATGAGCATGGCTTGGCAAGCACCTGATAAATTTTTTTCATATTAAAGCCCTACATTTTTTCCCCAAAAAAACCTAACAATTATCAGGTTTAGCCCTACAAGAGATGGTAATGTGGATAGAAATAAGCACAGGAAATAAGCTTAGTGTTTTTCATTGGTTAATGACATACATATTCCAGTTTGGGGCTTTTCAACATTACTTTCTAGGAGAAAATTTGATTTCCACTCTCATTTTAGATACAAATATCCCTGGAGAAATTCATCAAATACACACTTCTAGTACTGTTTTAATGGACACCTAACAGCTGTTGGGCATGTTTGATCACCTTGTGGGTCTGTACTTTTCCAGTACACCGATGCAGTCTGAGGTTGATTTAGATCTTCAGAGGAATTCAGCAGATTTCCCCAAATCTCTTTGAAGAAATGGAATGAATCACTTCCAGTTAAAAAGTTCGTATTTAAAGAGTAGAGAGATACATGACTAAGTTTACGCCTTTAGAAAACAAGTAAACATTGCCTTTTAGAATGAGAAGACTATTTTGCCACTATTACTAATATCTCTATCTGTAGACATTTTGACATTTTCCCTACTCACTATACTTAATATGCCCAGATAGGTCCATAATTCTCCAGTCCTCTAGCTAATTGAATAGGCCAGAATTGTTTCTATGACAACAATATTATCCCTGAGCCATGTTGCTCCAGCTTATTAAACAGAGTTACTTACCTGAGGATACCGACAACATCCTTAGTTGTGGAAACTGATCTGTAAAGTTTGCTAAGAGAGTAAGGCCACAATTTGTCTATGTTTGGCTTTTAACCTACTGTGTTAGCCATCTATTAAAGTTTAACTTCGTTTAAAATGCCAAAGGGGGAAGTGCTAGGTTTTATTTATTGCCAGTACTGTTTGTTCATAATTCACATTAAAACCACAGAAATTATGCTAAGGAGAGTCCTTTACGACTCAGCTATAGCTTTCCAATTTGAAAGATGTGTTATAGGCACTGCCTTCTGCAAATCTTCTTTAGATTACACAGTTCAGGTAAGTTCATCAGATATGGAAGCAATATAATATGAGCTATATAATACTTCTATGTGAGAAGTAATTGAAGATCTGGATTTGATTCACTGTAACTTTTCCTGGGAAATACTCATGGGCATACTTGTGCTGTACATTGCTTACCTTTCATCACCTCCATCCAGCTTTAATATTTGCCCTCTATTCCATCCTCATATTTCCTCCATGCTTATTTTTAAGATTTTTCTTACCACTTTGGATTAAAAGAAATATCTATATCTTTCTCTGAAGGTGAAAAAAAAATTAAGAGCCTTGAGAGATGGGAGAAAGATATTTTATTTGTGTTTATATTCCTAGTATCTGGCATATGAACTTACAAAGTTTCCTAGAATGGTAAAAAATAGCATAATAAGTGGATGTTCCAGAGAGACCTCAGAAAAAACTAAGAAAGAGCTCATTCAATTCAATACACATTTGAAAAATTTTAATAACTATCTGCTAAGTATCAAGGTCTTAGGATGAGTGGTAGTTTGCACACTAGTAAATAAAACAGCTTTAGCCTCTGTCCTCAAGGAGTTTAAAAGCATCATTTTTGGAAACAGATATTAACAGATAAGTATATATACACACAGATAACATCATTTCAAGAGACAAATATTAGCATAATTGTAGATACACATGCATATACACACATACAGGTAGACAAAGATATTTAAGTAGTGTTCTGACAAATACAGCTAAGGGTCAGAGTCCTATCCCACGTAAGTTAAAGTACAAACTAAATGACATCTTTTTGGGAAAAAGTAGTGCAGACATATTTACATAATAATCAAGCCAGGAATTGGGCTAGATTTGTGTTCTACAACCTTGCAGAATGTCAGAACCATCTGGCAAGATTTTACAAAGTGCTGATGGCCTGACTCTACCCAGACCAGCTGAATAAATCTCTAGGGGCCGGAGCCTGAGCATCTATGTTACTAAAAGCACCCCAGGTGATTTTTATGTTACTGTGAAGCAGGAACGTATTGGACTGGATGCCCTCTAGGTCTCTTCCGACACAGAGATTTTATGATCCTGTGGTTCTGTGAATAAAAAGATGATTCTCTGATTCACCTCTGGGCATTGAAATTTCTTTTTTTAGTATTTTGAATTTTTGAAGATACACCTGCTTCCACAAAGAAGAGAGAATGCACTTTTACTGAGAAAACTACTTTAGGTTTCTGCAGAAGGTTTGTTACAAATACTGTGCAATCTTTGGTATTATTGTTTAACAACATGAAATAAAATTGCATACCAAGGCTTCATGCCATTAAAAGACATTTGTGAGCATAAGAGCATATCATTTGTTGTTACATCTCCTATGGTGATTGAGAAAAGCACGTTGAACATTTTAGATATTTAATATATATTTGTTAGAATGAACTGTTGGATAGCATCAGGAAAATATATGAGATTTCAAAATGCTCATCTGGTTTTGGTTGCCCTTGACTATTTTCTAAAGTGTGTGAGATGAAAGTCTTACAAAGACTGAAAACTTTTCCCTGTAATATATCTCAGTATGGTCTCTATAGGTGATGCTGTAAGCAGTATTTATCATTGTCAGAGCCTGATATCTGCTTGGCATAATAAGAGATTTACCACTTTGCAACAATTTTTACACTCCTGCCTGGAAATATGGAGCAAGAAGGCCACAATCTTGAATATCAAGACATGATGTGGACATAATCATTTGATTCTAGAGGAAATAAAATCCATGATATAGTTGGTTGAATTAATGGAGATAACCAGTTGACTATTATGTATTTCAATTACATGCATGTAGTGTTCTACAGGCTGCTAGGAAACAGAAATATTGGGAAAACTGCCAAATAAACCCATTTATTATTAGAGAAAAAAAGGTATCTATCTATGCAGTTGACCCTTGAATAACATGAGTTTGAATTGATCATGGCTATTTATATGACTTTTTAAAAAATTTTACTTATATATGTGACAAATTTTTAGACATTTACAGTGAAAATGTGTAACCCAGATAATAGTATATTTTATTATTCACTGTCATAAAATCTACACAAATATATTTTATACTCTTAGAAAAAGTTAAAATATGCCACAACTTCTAGACCATGTGTGGCACTGTTGGCAGTTGAGAGAAATGTAAACAAATACAAAGGTGCAACATTAAATCATAACTGCATAAAATTAAGTGTAGCGCACACTGACTTACTATAGTAATTTCATAGCCACCTCCTATCGCTACTGTGGTGAGCTGAAGTGTTTGCGTACTGCCTAAAACCACAGGAAGTTAATCGTCTCCACGTGAATGGTTCCTCTCTCCAGTAAATTGCATATGGCAGTAAAGAGTGATCTCTTGAGGTTTTCGCCTGTTTTTCATAGTATGTAACACCTGTAACATGCAAAGGATGTGCCGAGTGACTGCTTAGATTCATCAGTAAGTCTTCTTTAAAACAGTAAGCTCTTAAATATTAAGGTTTTAGAGAGTCAGAACTTATCTCAGAAGTCAACTAAGCATGGAGCAAGAACCCTAGAGAGCTGAGTGGTCCCACAGACATTGTCACTGTTACCGGCCTTGTTACCATTCCACTGCAGGAGGAGCTGCTCCAGTCACCAGCACTGTAACCCACAGACAGGAGGCCAAGACCCACCACCCACCCACCAGCCTGTGTCAGCTTCCAATGCTATGTCTGCTAACACGACAAGGTCAGTGCAAGGACGTTCCATACAACAACAAAAAGTCCGATGTAAGAAACAGATGTGCTTTTATGAACAGTGGTGATGCTGTTCGTAGAATTTGGGATTGGCTCAGACTGGGTGATTATCTGGATTGTGTGACAGTTACAGCTCTTAGATTCTTCAAGAGATTTGCTCAGAGGTCCCAAGAAGGCGCTTAGAGCTTTAGCAAGCTCTTTATTGTATGACACACAGAAGACACTCTTAAGCAAGTCTAGCTTTTATTAGAGAGGATAGTATATAGGGCAGAGATCCAAACCTAGATGTACTGACTGCTCCAGGGACCAGAGTGGATTGTCATTTATTATTTATATTTTTTCTTAGATTTTGGGGAATGACAGAGGCTGGTAACTAATGGGAATGTGTTCCAAGCAACTAAGAGATTCCACCTTCCCAATGAAATGAGGATTTTTGAGCTAATATAGTCTTAACACAAATAAGTAATAGTAATTAAGATGAAATTTTAAAGATTACTAATAGAAATCTATATTTAACATCACTAATACTAATTCATGATCATGTAGATTCCATTAATTCAGGTTACACTTTAGCATTAACTTCGATCTGTGAACTAGTAATGCTAAACTAGTTTTGTACAGAATATACTTTAAACAGGCACATACACGACAATTATAATAATCATCATTCTCAAATATAAGCCTCGGGAAAGGTATTATCTCTCTAATTCATGGATATTTTGTTTCATTTTTGGAATTAAATACTGTAGTGAGAATAATTCACAGAATTGCATACCACACTCTCTGTGTAAAACCTGATAATAAGAGTTCCGTAAGCCAAATAACTGTATCTTCAAGAGAACACAGTAATAGGAAATGCTCAGAACTGATAAATGATGAATTTTCTCAATAGGACCTTGAAGCTGTATGATCCAGAATTTGGGGTTTTTCTGCAGACATCTACAGATATCTTCATCGTTTTTATTTTCCAGGTTTACTTGTGAAAAAAGTGATTTTGTGGTGGAAAGTCCAGAAGTACATGTGCATTTTGACATTCCTCAGAGTGGAATCACATAATTTTAGATTTGAGAGGGCTTAATAAATCACAGTCTCCTTTTCTTATCTTGACTTTGAATATTCTTTAGATATGTAGCAAGTCAGTCAGGTCGTTTTTTCAGTTTAAGACTGAAAGCAGGTGAATTTTGACAATCTGCCTGGTTAATTGAACTGAAGAGCTATTATTCATTCAACATGTATTTGCTGAGCATTGATTATGTGCTAGAAATACACTAAACAAATAATTAATGTTTAATTTGTGTTTAATCTCATGTTCTGGAAAAAATAATTTATCTGAACTATATTAAAATTTATGTAGCTGTACCTTTAAAATGAGGGATATTTTCTTTTCTGGAGAAAATATGTGTACATACAGACATTAACCAGATCAGTCACTGAAGTGATTAATTAATTAATTAATTTTTTTTTTTTTTGGTTTTTTGGTTTTTCTCTGGTACTGGGAACCGAACTCACAACCTTGCGCTTGCCAGGCAGGCACTTTGCCGCTGAGCTAAATCCCCAGCCCCTGAAGTGATTAATTTAATAGATACCTATTATGAGAAATTTTCTTAGCCTGCAAGAAGAGTGGTAATTTTAATTTACACTTGTACTTGGTAAAATGTGGAGTGGTGGAAACGGAGCCAGGAAATACATTACAGTGGCATTAGAAAGCTAAAAACAAAAATGCACCTCCCAACCGGAAGCAGGAAAAGGACTCTGTGTGCCTCACCCTACTAGCCCATGTGCTTTATATGTTACACAGCTTGGACTTTGAAATGCTTCCTCCTTTTTTCCTTTTATGAATCAATCTCAAATCCACATTTTATTGTTATTTAGGTCAATACTTACTCTAAGCTACCTATGTCACATAAATAGACTCTTGCCATGAACTTCTAATGGGTCCTTACTTCTCCACCTTTGTCCTTAATTTAACAAATTTCATCCATCAGATGCCTTTTCTAAAGCGCATGTGTAAGGCGCCTTCTCGTCTTCAGTGGGGTGTCATGGGCGACGCTCTCCAAGGCACTGAGGCCGTCATCCTTCCTTTCTCGCCTTCCACTCTTACCACTTGTCTGAGGCTATGCTCCAACCCCGTGGTGTTTGTAGGTCCCAAATGGGCTTTATCACCATGGGAAGCAGCCCATACATGGCAGTCAAGTAGACAATCTCAGTTCTGTGATTACTGCCTGATGACCTCTGGGATTAAGTGAGATGTGCAAATTGTTTAGTGTGGTGTGTGATCCAGAGTGCTCTCTTAACAGATCTGATAGTTTGCTATTTGGTTTGCTTCAGTGTCTTTTTAACTGGAGATCCGTACTTCCTCATCTCTCTTGTTTTTCTCACTTTCTTTCTTTATATGATTCAAAATACTTCAAAGCTTATATGTCATTATATCTATAACAGTTTCTATAAAATTTTTCCCTTAATTCTTAAGGGTACAGAAGATAATTGTCCATGTATTTTGTTATCAATCTATGGTAGTACCAGTGTGAATATGCCACATCCACGTTTTCTACACTATAAAAACAAAATCCTTGTTTTATTTTTTCATCCTTGTCCTTTCATAGGACCACTGTTAAAAATTTTGCAGATGAGCAATGAATCAATGCAGACTGATAATGTTTATAGAGGTGTTGCCATTTGTCATTCTCTGGGCTAAGTTTTCAGGCACTGTTCTTGCTTTCTTTGTCTCCCTGAGCATATATGTTTCTGCATTTCACCAGTTCTCGGTTGCTGTCTCTTTCTCACTGTATACATATATGTGTACACACACACACACACACACACACACACACGTATTACATGAAATTTTGTATGTGCCATATATTATATGTAGATATGTGTGCATATATAAAAGTTTAACTCTACTTAAACCAATTATATAGCTGTGAAATAGTATCTTCATTTAACTGATGAGGAATTTGACAGTCAATGATAATAATTTTTAGTTGCTGAGATATGAGCTTATAGAATTTTTTTGTGCAACATAGTGGCTGGAATTCGAGCTTACCTTAAACCTGATTTTTTTACCACACCGTGTTGTTTAATGTTGTTATCAAAGAAACTTCTAGCATAGAAAGGAACGGAAGAAAATAGAATATAGGATAACCTGGGAAGGTTAGAAAATTATATGAGAATGATATTTTCCCATAGATTTTACCTTGCTTCAGACTGTCACCAACTGACATTTTGTATTTGTAGACATGGAAAATAATCTATAGGTAAGGTTTGTGCTGTTTGCCTTTAGGATGGTAATTCTGAGGTGGTACTAGACATGACAACATGCTCTGCCTGACTTTCATCTTTGTGTGCATTTGAAGGGTCTCTGCAAGTCTTTTGTCTTTACTTGCTTGTAGTTAATGTATTTTTGTGTGTCCTCTCAGAATGCCTACTGGAGTCTCAGAGATATTGGGAAAAAACCACATGCAATGATACTGTTAGGATATTCTCTAGCTGGGGCACTGCTTCACTGAAAGAAAATTAACCTTCTCACTGTGTGCAGCCATTCAAAAGCAGAGGTGTGACTTCATGGGGAGCTGCGTTTGCAGGACTTCTGTTCTTGCCTGGATTTTGATCTTTCTCCCTTCTACATTTGTAAACAAAACCTTCTCCCTAGATCTGAAAATTCTTCCAGAGAGTCTCTGGCCAAAAGAAAATGACTCTTCCAAAATGTAGAGAAAAGTTGGCTAGATTTGAGAGTGTTTGGATGACAAGTGACAGCCATGTGCTAAAAGCACCAAGAGCATGCATCCCTCTGTTTCAACTCATTTGTGCTAAAAATACAGATCGTGGGCTGCAATCAAAGTTGCAAAAGTAATGCACAGCTTCTCTGGCACTTTGTGGAAGAACCTGGATGCTCCCTTTGTGGTGGCTACATATTCACACAAGAATTTTCTTTTACATATTTTAATCTATCTGTAGCATGCTATGTCAAATATGACACTAGTTGGAATTCATTGCATATCCTCATGAATAACAGATCTTTGTGCCTTGAAACCACCTTTCAAGACTCTATTTAACATGATCCCAGGAACTGATTGGTCCCAGATCAAGGTTAAAAGACAGTGTGCAGTTGTAGTCTTTTCCCTAATAACACAAAAACCTCAAATAACAGTCCTGAGGTAACACCATCAAGACATTTGAAACAAATTTTATCACAGAAACAAAAAAGCCTGCTGTCTTTTCTTTCATACTACCCTTGATAGTATTTTTTCCAATGTACAAAACTGATCTGCATTTATTATTTCTTGTTTAATAATTTCTATCAAACCCAAATTTTTGATTATGCTCTTTTTTCGTAACCACTGAGCTAGGCTCATGTAGCTTTCACTCCGACCATGGGAGACTAGCTGCAATATTTCTTTTTCTGAAAAGATAAAAATGAAGTACAAAGAAATTAAATTGTATGACCAGGGACAAACAGAGCTCATCATTTTGGGAAACAGGGCTTAAAGTTCTGCTTGTTTAGAATCTAGTGTCCCTTTGGTGACATTTTGTCCCTGCTCTACAACTAGAGATAACTCCCTTAGGAATGAACACCAATCTTAGCTATAGTCAAATTGTTGCATAACCCTTCAGAAAATAATCAGTCCTGAGTATATTTAAGAATTCCCCAAAATGAGCTACTTGAAAAATTTCCAAATTATTCCTAGGTACTGTTTATGGAACTATAAAAGAAATTGCTTTCTTGTATTTTTCCCTTCTGTGTTTGTGTATCTGCTCACAAAAACCATCTAATACATAATGCAAGGTAATAAACTACAGCTTACAATGGCTACAAAGCCCTTCCCATGTGGAAATAGAACTGGAAATCCATTACTAGCAATGTACCTTCAAATGCAATTCAAGTTTGACAAACATTAAACAATTTGGGCAGGTACTTGCAGTCGATGTTTCCTCTGAGTGCCTTTTAGGTGTCTCATCATCACGTTATTATTCTAAAATGTTGGGAAGAATTAATGATTTCCTTCACGTAAATCACTATGGGTTGAAACGCCACACTGGATTTACCCTTGCCATTTTCTTCAAGGGATGACAACACGAGCTCCCTATTTACAAGTTGTTGCCTTTTAAAATGCCAGCTCCCTTGTAAATCCGTGTTCAATGTGGGTCCTAAAAGTATGTTGCCATTGGATCAGAATCTCAAATTTGATGTTCTCAAAATAAGCACATTCTCATTCATTTATGGAAATATGAATGCAGTTCATCACTGGCTTTGTTTCCTTAGGTACGTAAAGTAAAATAGTTTACATCTACCAAATGATGGGGGATTTTCTGTAGCAAGGAACATTTTGCCTAACTAAAGTCTGCTGTTCACATAGACTGTGTTCAGACTCATTAAGAGGCATTCTTTGGGAGAGTCTAAGCAGAAATGATTCTGAGGTCTTTCTTTTTAGAAGGAAAAAGGTTCTCAGACTACT